CGTTTAAGAGTCGAAAGGGAACCGGTTATTGGGGACATCCTCCTTATCCCCACTTTCATTAGATTCCATGATGGGGGCCTTTCTAATGAGGGAAATCCTTCTCGAATCTCCCCCTCGTCACCTTACATCGCAGGCTCTCTTTTGCGCCGCTCTGGCACATTCGTCGCGTCCATTCAGCTGATATTCTTGCTCGCAGACCCTCGCGATTCATTGAGCTCGGAATTCAGCAGCCTTGCTGTCTCGGGAAACGCCCGACACGGCAGAAAAGGTCCGGGTGCTAGACGATACAACTCATTTCAGAAATCAAATCCAATTAAATAAAACTGATCTCCGCATGAATCTGCAGGATTCGGCAGTATAAACACATTCCATACGATGCTTCAGTCACTGAATGAATAAGAACATTGCTTGAATGAGGTGTGGAGAATTTATCTCGGGTTTGAGAGAAAGCTGGATGTAAGAGAGTTTTCCAGGACTTCGGAGCATCATCCCATGAGCGGGTTCGACCGATTCGTCGTCAACAAGCGCGGCAGAGCATAGTTGTTGTTCTTTGGTGTTGAGAATCTGCTGAATTAGTGCGAAACTTCATAGACATCACTGGATTTTCAACACCGAAGAACGACGATGCCTCACGAGGAAGTTGGCAACACGGAAAGACTGGTTGACTACAAAGCGGTTCATTTTTCTCAGAGCTGGCAGGCTCGGAACCTTCCTTGGTGCTTCCTTCCTCATCCAGTCAAATTTCATGCCAGATAGTTACATTGAGTTCCCGAGCCAAGAGGGCCATGATGGACCCGTAGGGTTCATTGAGTTTCATATGTATCGAAGGAGAAGGTAGAAGATAGGAGACCAGCGGTCAGGGCGCTTGGCGCCCAGAAAAGCTGCGGTGACATCATAGCGGAAAGGCCTCACAAAAGCTAAAAAATAAAAATTAGTTGGGGAAAGAAGACGTGAATATTGCTGAAAGCATGCGTCTAGGCAGCTTCATTGGTACATCTTGACCTCACTCAGGGGATTGGGCATCGATTGAGAAGAGTTGGAAGTCTGTTCGAGGAAGAAAAGCGCCGCACAGTGGTCCAGAACGGCCACAAATCAGGTTCGCCTCCGAATGCGATTTTATATAACGATTTTTCAGCATGCGTCTCGATGCCCGGACTCCATTTTGGGTCTCGGAGGTTGCGCGATCGGTGCGCGGAGCATGGCGATGTTTTCTGTCGGGAATTCATCCCAGAATATGGTTGTCCGAATGAAAGGAGAAACATTCTTGGGAGAGGAAAGAAAAGGCGAAGAAAAAAAGATGGGAAAACGAAAGAAAAGAAGAAAAAAAATTGAGCGAAACTTATATTCAGCGTCAATCCCCTGAAGGCTCTACAACTCTCGCTCGATCTGAACATAGCGAAGGAACTATACATAGATCTGAGACTTGAATTGATGAGAGAGCTTGGTCTTGATGCTTTCCCTGCATACAACAAGGTTTTGACTGATGTGAGAAGAAACAATGCTATCCGACCAACATCGAACCAACAGAGAAGCACGCTTCCGTCTTACCGAGAGATCCCCTAGAGCACTCGGTGAAGCGGTTGCCCAGTTCGCTACCGGAGCCAGAATTCAACCTGTTGGAGGAGCACTTGACTTTTTTTGTCAAAATGGGGCTGCGATGGATCCTCTGGACACTCGGAGTACAAACAGGCGTCCTTGTGTGATTCTCTTTCAGACGGTAATCTATTTATCGTTTCTGTGACCTCTCTCCGACTCAGCAAGACTTCTGAGGAAACGGTTATCTCCAGGAACAATCCCAAACCTTCATCTACTATTGTCGACCCCTTAGATTCGAGCTGACGAAGGAGACACCGGAAGTGATCAAAGCACACGTAGCTCGAGTCGAAGAAGAGATATCGGACCTCGAAACATTCGTAGTAACGGTGAGAGGATCAACTTTCTCAGTGGACTTCAAAATGATCCTATCAATGATCGACGGCAAGATTATCCAGATCATCAATGAAGTGCCTAACATGGCTCAGTGCGTGATTTGCAAAGCCAAGCCACCTGAAATAAACTCATTGGCCGTTCTGGACCACTGTGCGCCGCAAATTGATTCGATGACCGACGAACATTGCGATTTTATTCTATAGGGGAGAGATGGCATGGAGATCTCACTTTGTTGCTTGAATCAGGTGTACCGTTACAGTCATTTTTGGGTAGAATTTCAAATTCTGTGATTGGTGAATGTGACATGAATTCCTCTATCTTGGCGATTAGAGCACGCCCCGGAATCAATAACTGGTATGAAAGCTTGGATTGACTGACAGTGATGACTCGTTCAATTCGTTACCCATTCGGGGTTCCCAGGACCCTCTCAACAAGAAGAAAGTTCACGCCGAGCGGAAAATTATCGAGTTGAGGATCGATCTTTCCCGCTTCCGCATACAAGCCGGCTGACCCGCCACCGACCAATCACTCCCTCGGGGTGATCTCTCTCAGCCGGACCTTTTCCTGCGGAACCGACTACACCTGTGCACAGTCAGTCCTTGTTCCTCTTCAGAAATTCAGTACGACGAGTCTCGAATGATGCAGGGCAGTGAGAAAGTTGAGCTCCTTGAGCTTTTCGACGTTTTCCCACCTGGACCGCTTGATACGTACAGGAATCGAGCTTCGTTTGACTGGAGAAAGCTCCGCATCCAACTAGAGGGTACGTTCCGAATGTTTCGTCCTCCCTTTGATTATTATCAGTTCGAGCCCGATACCCCCTAGGAGGAGTCGTCACAGCATGAAACGACGTCCCCTACCTCGTGACGCAGGCTGAAGCGACGCAGCTCGACTCGGCGCAAAACTAGGATCCGATCTCTCTATCGTGTTCTCGAGGTTGCTCGATCACCTCAAGGGGACGCCAACTCAGGGATTTGGTAGAGCTCTCGCTCTGTATCAGATAGTCCCGGGTCCCCGACTTCGAGAGGAAGCGCTTGACCGGATCCTTGCCTAGTCTTCTTAAACCTTGTGCTCAGACTGTGAGTGTCCCTTACCTCGGGAAGTTCCCCATGTGTCCACACGACCGGAGCTTCCGCGATGAGACGCTTTTGCCCCAATTGGCTAGCCTCCCTCCTGTGATGGATAATCTGCTCCAAGATAGCTCCCTCGATCGGCTGCTTCGCCCTCGAGGGGGCTTACGTCTCGGGTCTTTAGGCGAGGATTTTTCGAAAGTGTCTCAGCCCTCGCTAGTCGGGACGGGGTTCCGGTTCTCATGGGCACACTGGCTTGCGATTTTCCATCGAGAAAGTTCTGCGCGTATTAGTTCTCGCAGGTCGTTGTATCTAAGCAAGAGACGCTTCGAATATGCGTTCAGAATAGAGAGATGCTGAAGCCAGATTGCACCGTCGATACGAGTATAATCATCGTGGAGAGTCAATTCTTCCATTCCCTGCAGGTGAAGCGGTCGTCCTCGTCAAGCTCCGTACATGGCGTACCCTGGCAAGAGATCCGTTGTTCGCGCCGAGGTCAGATGAGTCTCCGAGGTCGATAGAGGAAATTCGTCGCAGAGCCTCCCTTCAGATGAAGAGAATGATGGAGTACGAGTTTTTCACCAATCAGGAAGTACTCGAAAACCCTGTGATCTCGATGGCTGTGGAGCATTGCTGCGTGGGTGTGGACCCTTCATTCTGTGTAAAAAAATGGCTTTCGGTCGATATACTCGTCGGGGCCTTGAGGAGCCTGGGTACTCAAACTCATAGGAAATTTATCGATGAGATCAAAAATTACGAAGCGATCGGCTGCTTCGCAATGACTGAATTGAGCCACGGCACGAATACCCGAGGATTGCGCACCGAGGCACGCTACGACCCGAAAACGCAGGCATTCATTCTGCATACGCCCGATATCGAAGCCGCTAAGTGTTGGTCGGGGAATCTAGGACAGAGCGCCACGGACGCCCTGGTGTTCGCTCAACTCTACACGCCGGACGGCGTTTGCCACGGTCTGCATTGCTTCGTTGTACCTCTCCGAGACCGGAGGACGCTTATCCCCTTTCCAGGCTTGACCGTGGGAGACATGGGGCCGAAACAGGGGCTGCACGGAGTCGACAACGGATTCTGCATCTTCGATCACTACGCCATTCCGCGAGAGAATCTCTTAAATAAAACCGGGGACGTTTCTCCCGAGGGTCGATACGTTCCCAAGGTTAGAAATCAGTCGGAACGTTTCGGAACAACTCTCGGG